GGTTTCCCCAACGCGTTGCGTTCCTGGTAGCTCCATGGGCTTCTTGCTCCCCAGAGAGGAGCCCCGGCCTGGAGGGCGGAGCGCCGCCCAGGGCGCTGCCGTTTACCGATTCCTGGCCACAAGGCCCCATCCAGGCCCCGCCCACAACCTCCAACCCAGCCCCGCCCATACACCGCTGCCCCGCCCTGCCCCGGCCCCCGCCCCGCGCCGTCACCCCGCGCCCCCACAGAATCAGCTCCTACTGCAAGAGCAAGGGCTGGCAGCGCATCCAGGACGGCCGGCGAGAAGACTACATGCTCAAATGGTGCGAGGTCAAGAGCAGGGACAGCTACTGCAGCTTCCGCGAAGGTGGGGGCGCGGCCAGGGCCGCGGGGGCGCGGCGGGCTGGGCGCGGCCCGCGCGCTCATGCGCCCCTCTGCCCCGCCAGGAGAGCAGTTGCTGTACCAGCTCCCCAACAACTCGCTCCTCACCACCAAGATCGGGCTGCTCAGCGTCCTGCGGGAGAGCTCGCGGGCCACGACCAAGGCTCCCAGGACTGAGCTGGGCCCCCAGCCCAAGTGAGCCCTGGCCAGCCCTGCCCCCTCTGTCCCGCGCGCCCAGCACCCTCAAACTCGGCCACAGGCCCTCCCTCCAGGCGATGGTCACCCACGGGACCCCCTGTACCAACTGTGCACGTCCATCTCTGTCTGCGTCCATCTGCCGGGCCCTCTGACCACCTGTGCCCCCTCCCCAGCCCATGGCCCGCTGCCGTCTTCACTCCGAGTCCAGCCGTCCCCCACTCACCTGCCCCTTCTGAGGCTACCGGTGCACTGACCGCCCGTGTCTCTCCAAAGTCCACGTGCCCCACCCTCCCCAGACCCCGCCCCCATTTCCCTCACGCCCTGCAGCAACCACTCAGACAGGCCCCGCGCCCGCTCCCCAGACATGAGGAGGGCGCAGCGCCTGCCCTCGAGGAGTTGGAGTGGACAGGCAGCCCAGGACACCCCGGGCCACAGAGGTAAGGGCGCTCGAGCCCCTGGGAGAGCCCTGCCCCAAGGAGAACAGCTGGTAGTGGGTGACAGGGTGGGGACACCCCGTGCCAGGGCACCGGCAGGCCAGAGGCCAAGTCTGAGCACCTGGTGCACCCAGGGGCCTTGCTGACCCCTCACACACTGGCACAGCCTGGCTGGACAGTGTGTGTGGGGGGAGTGGGGGGCAGTAGTAGCTGGCCAGGGCCCACGCGAGCAGCTGGGAAATATCCCGGGCTGGGAAGGGAGCAGAGGCCGCGTGGGGACAGCAGGCCGCCCAGCACCCCTCTCCCTGCCCTGGTCCTTAAGAGTGGCCAGCCAAGACTGGGGGAAGGGTCAGCCTTGCTGTGTCCTCCCCTCTCCCTGCTCCCCCAGGGTCCTAAAGATGGAGGAATTTTTCCCGGAGACCTACCGCCTGGACATCAGAGACGAGAGAGAGGCTTTCTTCACCCTGTTTGACGGTGAGAGGCTCTGACCGCGGCCCGCTCCCAGGAGGCAGAACTCAGTGGGAGCAGGTGGCACCCGGGCCCACCCCAACCCCAGGGGCTGCCCACCTTGAGGCTGGGGTGGGCAGGGGTCAGAGGAGCATGGTCTGGCCTGAGGCTGGGAAGATATATCTGGGGCGAGGCCAGTGGAGGGGCGTGGTCAGGGCGAGAGGGACATGGTCAGGACTGTGGCTGGGGCGTGGCTAGGCTTAGAGGGCGTGGCCAGGGCTGGGGCGTGGCTAGGGCCGGAGGCGTGGTCGGGCTGAGAGGGATGGGCGTGGTCAGGGCTGGTGGGCGTGGTCAGGACTGAGCCCAGGCGAGGCCGGGTGGTGGGGTCAGGGCAGGCCTGGGCTCAGGCACTCTCCCCGCAGAAACCCAGATGTGGATCTGCAAGCCCACGGCCTCCAACCAGGGCAAAGGCATCTTTCTGCTCAGGAACCAGGAAGACGCGGCTGCCCTGCAGACCAGGACGCAGAGCTCAGAGGACGACCCCGTCTACCGCAAGATGTGGTTCCGGGTGCCCCAGGCGCGGGTCGTGCAGAGGTGTCGGGCCCGCACTATAGGGCTGCGCTCGGGTGGGGCTGCCCTGGGCCCTGGTGCGGGGTCCTGGCCGGGAGGGAGGGGGCGTGGTCAAGGCAGGGGGAGGGGAGGACACAGCACGGCTGACCCTTCCCCCAGTCTTGGCTGGCCACTCTGAAGGACCTGGGCAGGGAGAGGGGTGCTGGGAGTCAGGGTCAGCGGAGGTGGGCTCCCGGGCAGGGGCCAGTGCCCACCTGAGCCGCCCCTCAGCCAGCCGGGCAGGCTGCCCTCCCCACGCCTCCCCTCCCGGACCAGCCGGCCCCAGGCCTGAGGCAGCGGCCCCCCTGCCTCTGCCTTGGGGCGAGCTCCGGGGCCTCCTGTGGCACCGGGGTGCAGCGACGCGGCCCCCGGCCTCTGGGCCTCCAGACCCACAGCCCCTGCCCGGAATGGCCCGCCTCTCCACAGACCCCCCCCACAGGGCCCAGTCTGCGCCCCACC